ATTACATCGCACCTTCTGTGAAACTGCTATGGGCACACTGTAGTTTCATAACCTGCCTATTCTCCTGCGATTACATCTCACCTGCGAAACTGTGCGCGCTGTAACATCTCATGGTTTCATAACCTGCCTATTCTCCTGCGATTACATCTCACCTGCGAAACTGTGCGCGCTGTAACATCTCATGGTTTCATAACCTGCCTATTCTCCTGCGATTACATCTCACCTGCGAAACTGTGTGCGCTGTAACGTCTCATCGTTGCAGCTGGATGAGCTTCTGCATCACAAGAAGTCAGAGCTGGATGCTGTGATGGAGTTTGCCATCGATGATTCGCTGCTCGTGCGCCGCATCACCGGTCGCCTCATCCACAAGCCGAGCGGCAGGAGCTATCACGAGGAGTTTAACCCACCCAAGCAGCACATGATCGACGATGTGAGTATAAAGTTTAGCGCAGACCTGTGACTTTTTCATGCAACTCGACAGCGATTCTAGAATCGCTGTAAAAATTGCTGTGAAATCGCTACGTTTGCCGGAACGTGCAACTGCAACCTGTAGCGATTCCGGTCGCTTGCGATGAGTTGCAATTAAGAAATCAAACTGTTTTGATTTGGAGTGATTCGTTGCTCCCATTTGCTCCCAAATTGTTATAGAATTGCTTTGAAATCGCATGTGTGCACACACGAGGTGACACATCGACCGATCGCTTGCGGTTGCAGGTTGCAGGTTGCAGCGACGAGCAACCAAAAATAGCATGTCTGCGGTAGGCTTAAGAAGCGATGTCTTGCCATCCGATCCACTATCTCTGGTGTACTATACGTCGACGTGATGCTTAGTGATTATTATTATTCACAAGACATTGCTAGCAGCGATTTGGTCATTGTATTGGGACAGTCTTGTTCATAGTGCTAGTAGCATATTGTTGTTCATTAATAAATTATACCTGCCATAACATGTCAATGCTGTAGGAAATATCAAGTTATACTAATACAGAATTGATAAAGCATACAATAGTATTACCACAGACTAACGGATACACAGACTGGACGAAACGCCAAAATAGTGTAATGCAATTGAATGGTGGCGCCGCCCAGCGAATGAAGCGGTACACTAAAAATCTGGCTGTGGTGACAGATTGTGGATGTGTAACGTTGTAACATTAAAACGTCTCTATCGTTAATTCTAATATTTGGACTGGAGTTTAATTATACATTCCTGAATCTAGAAGGTCAAATGTTAGTCTTCAAGTAGATTTTGCTCTATTAAACGGCTATACATTTATTTTTACATGCTAAACGATCATCCACACCGTATCACTGACTAATGCACAATGAATACACACAATACATCACAATGCATAATGTGCTACAGTCTGTAGTTTAATTTATTCCTTAGTCTGTGACCGGATTTTGTGAGATTTGTTTTTTCTACAAACAATAAAAATAATAAAGACGATATAATTTCCATATTTTTTACTCAAATACCAGTATATTAGTCACGTTTATTGCTAAGAAGTTTAATCACAAGTGCTAGAGCTTCAGCAATGTACGATTCTGCTTGTTTCTAGGTTGGGAGTGCAGGAGGGTTACTGACTTCTATCAGCTCTAGATGGAACTGCATCCTTTCTTAGCCTCTTAAATTTTTTGACTTGCCCTTGTGTTTTTAGCTCGTCTGACGTAGTCGGATGCAGCTTGTAGAATCGCATAGGATTGTCCGTGCGTCCATCCGTGCGTGCGTCAACAGTTGGGCACAAATCTTAACCGCTCGATGTACGGTCACGATATTCGGGACGTCGGGCGGGATCGTGAAAAGGACTCGGGATGACAAATTTGGGGGTCAAGGGTCAAAGGTCAAGATGTGTAAACAGAGGGGGAATATTTCCCCCTTAACTTAAGGTATAGGAGGAAATACGGAATTGCGGAACAAACCTATGCTCGACATATGCTCTTAATATTCGGTGTATAGTGTGATGGGCAGGAAACCCATCACCAGTGCGAAATTGGAGGTCACAGCTAGGTCAAAGGGCAGTGGGGGAAAGATCAGATATCAGACATTTTCTGAGGACATGGCCTAATGGACAGAGTGAAAAACTTTTTTGTTTCAGCGCTGACCTACCATTTTTATCACTTTATTGAAAGGACCAAGAAATGGGCTTTCCACTGACGTGCGAAGAGTAAGTGTGTGATAACCTTTTATCCCTCAAGAGGAGGGTTAAACATGGGTTCCTGAACTGCCTCAATGATGTCAGTGTTCATGGCACATCTATAATCCATAAAGCCAATAAGCCTGGATTGCCGAACGGTTACAGCACAGGCGTCACGGCTCAAAGGTCCATGGATCGAATCCCATCAGATTTTTTATTATTTACCTGTTTTCTGTATTTTTCTATCTTTATCCATTTAATTATTTTTTTCCAATTAATGCAAATATTTACATGATTTATTTACAACAATTTAATAACAACAATTTTTTTTATTATTTTTTAATAGGGTTAGGGTTAGGGTCACAATGCACCATAAAACAAGAGTTTCAGGCACGCGATATGTATCAACCAATGGGATTTGTGAGGTATACAAAATGCAGAAGGGTGCTGAAATGATGTGTACGCAACTGCATATCTGCATATCTGCGCCTAACAAAGGTGTCACTATGCACGACTTAAATGTTACGTTTATAACCGTAGCAACAGACCTCAGATGAGCCCAGACGCTCTGCGGCTCTTGTTTAATAAAGGTGGAAGGGATCGGGTGAAGGAATTATGGAAAATAAGGTAAATTACAGACAGTTTGAATTTATTATTAGCAAAATTATTCAGCATGTGTTGGTTTAGTTTTGATATTGCCATAAACAATAATGATATACTGCAGTGCCCAGCAGTGAATATTTCTCAAACGTATTTTTCTGTTTATATGTATATTTCTTGAAATCAAGTGGTACATGTATAACGACCCAATAGTCACACGACAAGAAGCAGAGAAAGCAATGTTTTTTACTAATTTCTCATACTAATAATAGTTATATTTTTAAATAGGTACAGCATATCACATTTCAAAGCAGCCAGTGATTTTTACCCTTGTCAGCTGGACACATAAATTGAGATGCCTCATAAAGACAAAATGATCCTCGCAAATTAGCAGATATTTGCATTGGCTGTCTTTTAACCCGTCAATGTCGGCTTTTCCTATGTTGCAGATCCACTTCCGAAGTCTATGTACATGATCATCTACATGTGTCATGTAATGATGTGGTGTATTATTTACAAATTGCATATAGTTTTAACTGGTATTTTCCACAGAACAAAGGGCAGCAGAATTACACAGATAACCGAACCAAGAAGTGTTTTCCCTAACATTTAACTGTTAGCTTCACAAGATTGTATCTTGTATTAGTTTACATTGATATTATGATTACATATGATTAAGGTTCAGAATATATTCAAACACGACCAGTTTCTGAATATTTGGCTTTAAAATATGTATTTGCAGTACATATATTCTGTTAGCATTCGAAGAAAAGAAGACAAAATTAAATTTTAAGACATAAAAACTTTAATTCTGAAGTGTTACATACAGTTTTGTTCTTTTGCGTGAATGCGTGAGAATGCGTAGGGCATGCGGGAGTGTGGGAGAATGGGTCCAGATGCGTGAGACTTGGTAGGTCTGCTAACAGAGTAAGATTTAAACTAAAAGGTGAAATTTTATTTTCAGGGTGCCTCAAATGCAGTCTAACTTCTAGGACATTCAAATTTTTAAAATTTTGCTCGGGAAGACCCCCAGAACCCCCCTCTACCTCTCTCCCCGCATCTGCCTGCAGAATCCACATTCGTGCCTATTCATTTCATGACTATTACTATTTAATGTGAATATTTGTATCATTTCATATTCATAGTTTATTTGTTCCTTTTGACAAATTGAAAAAGAGATTCAAGAGTCTCATACAATGTGTTCAGAATAGCTTAGAATGAACCAAATTGCACCATTTTATCAAAAATTTCCCAGGGGAGCATGCCCCCGGACCCCCTAGCTGGGCGAGCTCATGCGGTGCTCGCTTTGCTAGGTTCTCGAGACACGCAAAAACATCTTTGAATCCATTATGCGAGTTTTTCCCCAAACCGGCCATTACCTCCATTGTCTAATTTTCCCCCAGAAGAAACCCTGCTATATAAGTTATATTTTATGCAGTGGCTACGCGTTTGGTCATCCATTACAAAGCTCAGCACACATTCCCAATTCCATGTCGCGATTAGCCCACACCCCTTTTCAAATCATTGATTTTAATGGATTTACTATTGCTTCAAATGTTACAAAAACACATTTTTTGGATAAAATACCTAAAGGTACGTAATATTATGGTGAAACCCTATTGTTTATTGTTTTTTACTGAAAAAATATAGTTGGGTTTACATAAGAAATATATGACCGAGCGCGTAGCCTGGGAGCTGGGCGTCCGGTTACCGGACGCGTAGCCTGGGAGCTGGGCGTCCGGTTACCGGACGCGTAGCCACGGCATATATTTTATTTACTGTCAATTCAGAATCACCATAAAACAGCATAGCGTGTGGTCATCCAAGCAGAACTACACATGTATACTCCGTATAGCAGTGTGACACATTGATCAAGACAATTCAACAGCTTTAGTTAATAAACAGTTGTTCTCAGTAATGTTATTTTGTGTAGGGATTTTGTGACTGGGTTGCCTGGTGAGGGCAAGACGAAAATTTGTTCCTACAGAATGATTGCGACCGTAATGATTGCCATACGGTAGAGACATATTCTCTGGGTTATGGTACTTTAGCCCAGAATGTGATCTGATCGTGTTATGCAGGCTCAAATGCCTAAGTTCAAATGCTCAAAGGCCTAAATGATACAAATAATGACTGATAATGATGTGCAAATGGCACATTTTACACCTACCAACCATCTTGTAATGGCTGAATTTTAACTTTACTATAGCTATGCCAGTGATATGATTATACCAGGAATGAATAATAGAGATCTCTATTAGAATCTTAGAATCTTTCGATGTCTAGAATCTCTATTATTCACTCCTGAATATACTTAGTGATGCAATGTGAAAAAACTGGTGTTTCAGAGAATTATATCTCTGGCTGGTGGAGGCACATGCACATGTATACCAATAATTATAAATATTGATCAGCATAAAATGGGTAATATTGCCAACTGAACACTGCCCAGCAAAAATACACAAAGTTCTGCAGGAGTTGGATACTTTAAAACATGTTGCATAATGTCTTTGTTAATATCTATGTTTTTATTTACTCCTGTTAATATGTACGTTTATGTCATCTACTTCTGATGAGTGTGAACTGGGTAGGTCTGGGAACTATGAAAACATACAGTCATACTGGTAGTTACTCTTGCAAGTGATTACATAGTACATATCTAATGTGCATCTCAGGACTGTAGAAGCATTTC